GAACCGACGTCTTCTAACATACTTAGATACATACATACACACATATTCAGGTCTTTGCGATTTAAAGCTCTGAATGGACAACTGTTACGGGCAGACGTGTCGCTTACGACCAGGCGCACAACTCATTCGTACCGTCGCTTGGTTTATTAGTAAAAAAATTATGGCGTTCCATCTTTGACTCATTCTGTTTTAGTGAATTAATTGAAAACTATACAGTAAACATGACACTACTTTCAAAGTGACATTAGTAACTGTCAGTTTGTTATCTCTTTTAAAAATCTGACTATAAAAATGTTGTTTGGTTATTTATCTCTACAAATGCGACATGAGCATTGCCAACACAAATAGGTGCGCCATAGTTGATAGAGAAAAGTTTGTCCACCTTCTCACTTTAGTCTATTTTCATTGATGATGATTTTGCTGACCATGTGAGAGCTTGAGAAGGTCCCGAGTTCGATTAATGAAACGATGTTTTCTAAATCGGTTCTGTAGCCGTAGCATGCCCTGCAAGGCAGTATATCGCATGTGCGATAAACTATGACATATTTATTTCAGTTGATAAAGCTATGTTGTCATTATTAAAAAATATTTTCTTATTACGAATACTGAATCGGTAACATACCGAACTGGAGTCATTTGTCCTTTTGTTTATTTGGTAATGTACAATTGTCATACATTTTGAAGAACAATGATAACGATATGAATTTGCGTATTACAGTTATCTTTGTCGCTTAATCATCACGCGAAAACGACGTAAGAGGAAATGCCGGGTTTTTACAGTTTCAGTTTTTATATATTTTACGTTACATTACTTGTTATGTACATATTTCTAATTACTCTCATGTATTAAACTGTATTATAAATGGTTTGGTTGTGTCATCCTTTCATGCAAATTCTCTAAGATCCTAGAAAAATGCCTTATTGTGCTGTTTTGGAGTGAAAAAATTATGGCCGCACCAAAAATATTGTCTTATTTTAATAAATTTTCAATATTTTGTTTGTGGAATTATTTTTTTTTGTTACAAGAAACGAAAGTAAACCTTCGTAAAAGTAAATCCGTGCAATATGGTCGCTTTGTGTTTGGAGAACTAAACTAATAACTCCAATTAGTCATCGTTCAGCAATGTACCGCTAGGTGGCAGCACATTGATTGAAATTTCAATATAATACCAAAACGTCGTAACTTGTAATAATAGATATTGATGATATTGACCTTTCAGCGATATGCCAACAGGGTAAAGCTTGAATTATATTAACAATCTACGATTTGTTATTTCTTTTTAAATTTGAAACTATGACCAATCAATATCAAGATTTTATAGTGTTCCAAATTAATAACATGTGAGTTTTGGCGATATCGGTTCTGATAGTAATCGAGGCTTAAGTCACTTCCATCTTTAAATTGTGCTACGTCCTAACAGGGTATCACATATATGTATCTAAGTTTATTAAAATGTGAATTGCAATAAATGAAATTAAATTAAATGTAATAGTAATAAAAATGTTTAATAATTATAAAAATAATAATTTAATTAATTTTAAGATATAAATATTATGTAATAATTATGTTTATTAATAATTATAGAATCTATAATATAATTAATTATCTAAACTAATTAACTACGTTCAAGCTTGCAATGTATTTAAATTCCATTGTAACTTTGCTACACCCTTACAGGGTATCACATGAATAACTTTATCATCCATGTGAAATGCAAATAAATAAATAAATGAATGAATAAATGAATGAATGAATTTTTTTCTTTCGTGGTGTCAACACATTTATAAAGACGGAATCGGCTTGAGCCACACTTTTTTGACCGGCTCTATGCAATTCCGTTGCTATCAGTGTGATGACTCCCTTATTGAGCTATTAGACTCAAGAGAATATAATTATAAGATAATATTCTATAACGGAAACGTATGTTCAGCAGATGACGTTCTCTGTACATCACATCACTTAAAAACAATTTTAAAAGACAGACCTCAAATGTTCTTGGAATTGCATCTATTTGACATGTTTTATTGAAATCGGTTAGCGGAAACTGCGTGAAACTGGATTCATCACCTAGTTTACCACCCTTAGAATCATCTAAACACTGCCTCAGTGCCCGAACGGTTACCATGCCGGAGTGCCCCAGGTGCAAAGGTCCCAGGTTCGATTCCCAGGCCGGAGGAAATATTTGTATGGCCTACATTTATTTCTCTCGTGAGTTTGAGTATAATTTGTGGTTGTCTATGTGATGTGGTTGTCTAGTGCGGGGCTACGTAGAGTGTGTGCGTTATTATAAAAAAAAATCGGTTTACAAAAAAATACATTCGAATTGAGAACCTCCTCCTTTTGTCAAGTCGGTTAAAAATGGACCTCCACCTTGTCAAAAGTAGTTCGCACTTGTTCATACGTTTCTCAGCTCTTCAAATATTGACTTAAAAGTTTTATCTATTATTTAATGATATTTACACGGTTAAAACCTCTGTTGGTCTATTAACCTGTTTTTAATTGTATACAAAAAGAGTGAGTTCTTTATTTGCGTATTTGTGTCATTGTAAATGTGTGAATAGTCGTTATCACCACCATCATAGGTCCCGCTGCTGGGCAGGGTGCTGCATAACGTCAACTTTACGCAGCGTCTCATACAGTAATGCCTTTAGGGTGCCATTTAGGTTGTCGCGTTACTGTAGTGCCTTCACTAATCTGAGACTCGTACGGATTGCTTTTATTCCATTATATGAAAGCGTTGGGCATCCCTAGGGTCCTAGTCGTAAGATGGGACTCTCCGATGGTAAGGCGCTGGGTGCAGCTGCATACGGCACCAAGCCAGTAGCTGCGCCTCGAACCTTTCTACGGGAATCTCTTTAATAAATATTAAAATGTACTTTCCCAGTTGTTACTAACACCAATTTTTAAATTATTTTGTTACTAACTCATAAGAAGGCTCAATTCACTCAGCGGGCAATGGAGAGAGCGATGGTCTGTATTTCCCTACGTGATAGAATCAGAAATGAATAAATCCGTAGGAGAACTAAGGTAACCGACATAGCTCGACGAATTGCTCAGCTGAAGTGGCCGTGGGCGGGGCACGTAGCCAGGAGAACCGATGGCCATTGGGGCGGAAAGATTCTTCAATGACGACCGCGTATATATATATATATAATATTTCGAACATTTATAAATACCTGTAATTATAAATATACAAATACATGCACTTACAACAAAACAAACTAACAATAATTTTCCAATGTATTTAAAAGTAATTTAACAACAGTTAATTTTAATTTTGCTTACTTTATAACTATTGAAGTACACATATCCTTTTGTAATTGTATAACTACATGTGTCTTCAAATCTTATGCCTATCTTTCTTGCATCTGATAAGAGGTGTAAGGGTGAGAGCCTGGTGCTCTATAACACAGGTTAATCCTAGCTTACTTTTCTTCTTTCTTTCATTTCATTTCCACACATTACTGCTTGGCGGCAGAAATAGGTAAGCAGCTGTTCTTTTTCTTCTTCAATTTCCGACAAATAGTGAAGGAAGACATTGTGATGAAGCCGGCATGTCGAAGATGCTTTACAGTCTTTGGGAAAATGTATAAAAGCCTCACTGGACCAGCGTGGTAGATAGTGGTCTAAACTGTCTCCTTAGAGAAGCCCGTGCCCAGAAGTGGGACTATATGTAGGCTATTATTATTATTGTTTATATTAGTGACGATCACATTATCCCTTGACATTGTAGTATTGTGACATTGATAATACGAAAAAAAATCAATCTATTATATTCTATTGCTACTAAATATTATATAAAGGACGTGGGGAACCGCATTACGAGCGAAGCTAAAGTGGAGCACCAGTTAAAGCAAGTGGAGACAAAATCACAGATGGAGTAAGGCGATAACTGAGTGGCGTCAGAGGACTGGATACAGGAACGTCGGGCGTCCAGCGGCGAGATGGGCGGATGACATCGCAGGAACTGGATGAGACTAGCACGAGATCGTGGGGAGTGGCACAGAAACTTGGAGGCCTATACCCAGTAGTGAGTGAAGTCAGACTGTATATGATGATGATGACTAAATATTGTGCCTACTTGCTTCCACAGGGATTTGAATCATCGACGTCTACCACCGTTCTCATAAACATTTTATTGTATTTTAATTGTATACGTTACAATCCAAGGTAAGAAGATGTAAATTCGATTGTTACTTAAAATTCAAGCGTATGTTATTTTATTAACTACTTATGTTTACATTAAATTTAAATTTGAAATAGGAATACAATATTTTTACGGGGTTTATTGTTATAAAATTTACAATATATGTTTTAATCTCTTTTTTTTAAATAATTATTATGATTTGGAAATGAAAGTATATTTTTGAATCTGAATCACATATATTTACATTTTCAAATAAACTACATTTTTACAGGTATCAAAGGCTTCCAATACTAACCACAGGACCTATAAAGGGTCCGAAGTGTTGGTTTATTTGAAAAAACAAATATTCGCGTTATATATTCTACAGGATATATCACGGAGAGTGTGCAATAGAATTGCATGATTTGATTCCGCCTTCCCCTTTCCATCATCGGGGGACCAGATCTGATGGGGTCCACCCTTATGTTGTGCATATCCCAGGATTCGCACAAAGCATTACGCTTCCTTTCGGACTTATTCCCCGAACGCTATAACTTGGACCTTTTCAAGGCGAGAGTGAATAGGCATTATTTAAAGTGTGCATGCTCCATCGTCGACCTCATCGTCACTTTCCATCAGGTGAGATGGAGGTCAAATGCTCACTTATTTTTTTTGTATAAAACAAAGATCCGAAAACATAGTAACATTTCTATTTATATATATACAATTTAAAATAATTATGAATTTTCATTCTTTTTTAACTCATAGTATATTTAATTTTTTTCAATGTTACTCTGTTGCCTCTACCAATAAAATTATTACAAAAACATTGAACCAAACAAGTGAAATAAAACGACCTTGAATAATACTTACATATTCATGGCACCCATATTGAAAGAAACAAAACAAAACACAGCCTTTTGGAGACCCAAAAAGTTTTTATAACAAGGCACAGACTTGTCAAAAAGAACACATAAAATCTTTCATCGATCCATCGTTTTAACACTGGCCACTTTTACAAAAATTCGTTATTACACGTTTATATTAAATTCGAAATAATTATATTCAATTGTCGAAATTCGTATTTGATTTCGAACGCGCTTTTTAATATTCGAACGCGCGACCGTTTTGAAGTGTGCGTCGCATCAGTAAGTGTCTCTTATTGAGTGGGGGCAACACTCGGAAAGAATTTATATATGGCGGGAAAATACACGTATTATCCGTGCGAGTCTCGCTTATTTATGTTGTATATAATAAGCAGTGCATGTGCGTTTGTTTGTAAATGTTTGCATTTAGAAATGTAGGTCAAATTGTTAAAAAGGGCTTTGGATGTTGATCGTAATCGAAAATAAAGCGAATAAAATTAAATAAAAAAAAAAATTTAAAACGAATATGTATAATATTATTATTAATTTAGAACGAATGAAGAGACCTGTGCCCGTGAGACGTATGATGTGATGAACAGGAATAATGAAAAACTTAGTTGGAATAAATCTCTTTACGGAATAACCTCGGCTTTGTACACTAACAATTATTGTTTGCACATTAGAAAAAAAACATTCAAGAACCTGAAAAATGGTCATAGATAATGTCATATGCAGAGATCAAAAATAGCCAATTAACCTACTGCAAATAACACATATTTAAAGTGAATAGTAAACATATAAGAGATGAAACTATTTTTCCGGATTTAAATCGCGTATATTTGTTTTTTCAAACAAACCGACGTTTCGGGCCCTTTACAGGTCCCATGGTCACAGTTGACTGAGGTGGTACAGTCTTCAACCAGTTATGTCTAATATTGATGCAAACCACCCTATTTTTTCACTATAGTTACAATAGTTATTAATTAAATACCTTATTTTTAATTTTACAAAAAAAACATTCCAATTTACGCTATATTAAGTTCCTATCTATCTATCTAGTATATTCCTATGTGTAACAATCGCGAAAACCTAAGAACTCGAGTAAACATATAAGGCAAATTAATCAAAACAATATTGTTACATTTTTATTTACAATTGTAATTTTTTCTTCTCGCAATAAAGTCGGTGGCACAATTTTTTATTAGCGTAAAAAAAATCAAAAATAAATGTTTATTTACTGTCACTTCGGCCTAATTTACAAGTATGAGTTTTAGTCTATTTTAGTAGCTGCAGAGGTCCTTGTGAAAGAGTTCGTCCAGGGAAGTACTGCCGCCTTACCTATTTCTGCCGCCAAGCAGTAATGTGGGCATTTCTGCGCTAGGGTTTTGAAGGGTACTGGTGAAATTACAGGCACATGGGACTTGTCAGTGCCCCTCAGATCTTTGTGATTTAAAGCTGTAACTGTTATGGACAGGCGTGTCACTTACGATAAGGCGAACGACTTGCTCGTCCCTTCACTTGGTATCATTAAAAAAACATCGACGAAATTTGAAATATCATAAGAAACGTTTTGTCGTAATGGAAAATGTTCCTTACTACAAAATGACATTTCAAAATTCGATTCGTCAACAATAGTTATTTGTTATGCAAGGCTGCAAAATTGTTGTTTGACGCTAGTGCTTGTATTGAAACGTAAGCAAGCGAAGGTAGTTAAGATAAAAAATAGATTCCTGACCGTAGCGAGGGTTTCAAGGCACCAGACGCAAAACAACCTTGCTGCCGAGCGAAACGTACAACTTTTCACCTCACTATGGCGAGGAAAATGGTAGATGAAAGAAAAACAGTTGATTTTTTTTCTTCTTTCCATAAAGGAAAAGGCAAGGGTTTTACACCATACAGCCAAGTCTTGGTACATTATTCTTTTTTTGGACATGAAGTTTAAACACGTTTCTGTAAATATGGCCGCCACAAAGAGGATAGGCAATTTGAGGCGTCGTGCTTGGATTGACTCGGGATTCCTTAAAACGGGCCGATACGGGTATTTTAGTTCGAGATTCGTATAATTTCGCATTTTAATCTTCGATTAAGGCACAATAGCACTATCCTATTCCACTTTAAACTAGATTTCACAAAATAATTGAAAGTCAAAATAAAAACGACACTTTTCCCTCCAAAAGGTCCAGAGCGAATCCCGAAAAACAGTTGAACTATAACAAAACAGTTTTTTTATGATTAGAAAAAGTTTATCTTCGGATGCGTTCTGAATTTACAACTCATCAATTTTTTATTCTTCCTTGTACTTTTATTTTGTGCGATTAAGTGATTATTTAAATTATTTTAGTTCTTCGACGAATTAAAATAACTCAATTAGTTAGCATTGTCAATTTAATGTCAACAATAATAAGGATAGAATATTTTCCATCGGATTTATATTACATAAATAGGTAATGTACGGCAAGTCGTTTATTTGAATGTGTAATTTTTTTTTCATCGAAAGAAAAAGTTAGGTGCACCACAGTCCATAGTCAAGTTTGAATGTCTAAAACGCTTTGGGGGGCAGATTTCAAAAAGAAAGCCTTTCGAGCTAGTGAGGTGAAAAATTATTACCCTTATATCGACAGTGAAAATCTGAAATATCCTAAGAGACATTTTGTAATAAGGTCGTTTTCCCTTACGACAAAATGTCCCATTTCATTTTTCCACTGTCGATATACTAGTGCTAGAGGGTCCGATTTTCCTCATTATAATACGATAACGGACAGTGTAATTTTTATTTTTATTTAAGATTTTTTTATTTAAGATTTCACTTAATAATGATATAAAATTAGATGAATAAAATTATTTAGTTCTAATAGCAAACTTTGGTACCGTATATGGAAAACAATAACATTTCTAGTAGCTGCTAACATTTCTGGTAGCTGTAAATGTACCTCTCTGAATGAAGAAATATATTTCTACATTAAAAACCAAAAACAAAGGTCTGCAAGAAGCATACAGAAAAATTCGCAAAGTCTGTTAGTTCGATCCGTGGCTTAACTGGCAGAGCATCTGGCACGGATTGCGTGATGGTGCTGGTTCGAATCTAGCCAGATGGGATGAATTTTTCTTAATGTTTCGATTTTCATTACAAAATTACGCCCCTTTCGGAGCGCAGAGAACTATTCGATATGGTTTCCCTTTATAAAATTATTCACAATAAGGTTGACTGTTCACTCCTTGGTAATTTAAACTTTAAGGTTCCCGCCAGACTTCCGAGATCTCACATAAGACGTTTTCACCCACCTCGTCGTAGAACAGCATTAGGTTCCAATCCCCCCATAGCTCGTATGTCTAATTTATATAATGACTGCCCCAAACATGCGGATATTTTCGTTGACTCACTGCTAGGTTTCATAAACAAAATTCATAATTTTCTTGGTTTAGACACATAGCATTCTCTATTATTTAGTATCTGAACGCTGTTGTATATTTTACTTATAAAAAGTCTTCTTAAATTATTTCTTTTCGATTACTTTTAAAATTATTTTTTACTTTTCCAACTCTGTGTAAACATTTTTTTTAGTGAGGTGCTCACCTATAATTAGTTACGCAATTAGACTAAGTTTTTGAAATGTATTAATACCTAAATGAAATATTGTAGTAACTGTAGGTGTGCCTAATAAATAAATAAATAAATAATAAATTATAACAACATAGAACGTGTTAGTCGAAGTTAAAGTTTAACACCGGGGCTCGCCATTCGACTGGTTTTTGTGTGTGTATGTTACACTTTGACATTTGAAAACCGATTTCGAAGATTTTTTATTTTATTTGGAAAGGGGATGCCTTAGTGATGTGCTCATTCAAATTTGAAGAAAATGTTCCACTTCTAAGGGTGGCAAATTAAGGAATGAATTTCAAGTTTTATTAAACTTGTTTAATTAAAACTTGACACATAGATATAATTCAGACAGCTAAACCTTTGAAGTTGTTTTTTTTTATAAAAAAAAAGAAGTTATTAATATTACAGTTAAAGTTTATAAGTTATTGCGGCATAACCTTAGACGTGGCAAGAACATCTAGAAAAAAACTAATTAACTCTCAAGAATGACATGTGTGGACGGAGCGGAGATGTACGTTAACAGAGGCCAATTATAATATAAACCTTCCCGTGGGAAGTCGGATTCGACCTATATTCAAACACGTCCGTCCTTTTGTTAACATATTGTCTTCTCCAAAGGTTTAAACTATCAAAAAGTTATTGTTCGTAAATATGTAAACATCTTCACATCACCGAAACATCATCTTTAATTATTTTGCGTTTGGACAAAATGTGGGTAAGTAGTTTTGTAATACGTCGCCCGATCGCAATATAATTTCACCTACATTTTTTAATCGACTTCAAAAAAGGAGGAGGTTCTCTTCATTATACAATGAATTGATTTATTTGATTGGCAAAAACAATTTTTTTGACATTTATTTTTTCCTTCGTTCCGTTTGGAACAGGCGAAGGTCAGAGACCGTACTGCCTAGTCATTAGTTTCTCTTTTTCTACAGTAAATATGTTTCGATTTAAGTCTTCAGTAGGATCCTTCAGTTTAAGTCTTCAGTATTTGACATTCCTTATTTGACAATTGTTTTTTTATATTAGTTTTACGGCATCGGATAAATCCATCAAGCCAACTTCAACAATTTTTTTTCCATATCTTTTTAAATACTGTGTCTAAGAGACTTTCTTCTTTGAATATATTTCAGGTATTTGAATGGTGGAAACAATGTATATATCTCACGACTATTACAAAAGTGTTGTAACTAAAAATATTTGAAATTCAAGTTTGTACCATTTCTGATCGTAAAATTTCATTCTCTACGCGTCAATAAAACCATCGTTAGAATATTGTACTTAACTCAAAATGAGACAAACGTTTTGTAAGTAAGTAAGTATAAAATGAACTTTTACTTTTATCTTTAAATATATTTGGCGAGTAGGAAATTGTTTAGACGTCTCTTATAAACTTTAACCCATAAATACATTTTAATAATCGTTCACGGGAAGTGAGAGTAATTTGTTCTTCATCGACTCTGAAAATATACACTTTTTGAGTTAATACACTATCTTATTAAAAGTGCGATATGTTCATAAGTCTTTGTATTCCGAATGGATGTCTTCTTTATACATTTTTAGTAGCTCATCTATAACAAGCAGTCTTTGCACACTGAAACCAGGGCAATGTAGAAGGAAGTGATCGAGAGTGGCTTC